ATATTGTGTCAACTGTAGGTGAAAAATGTAAGAAAAGTTATGAAGTTCCCTCATGTATTTACCTTCCTATTCAGAAAAAAATACTTTTCAAGAAACAATTGTTTTTATTTCAGTGCAATTATATAATTTCAATGGAGAAGTATTATGAGGGGAAGTAGAAACAGCACAGGGTCTGGATTTTAGTATTAGCTTTATCCTCAGCTAGCTATTAGCTGCCCTTGTCAGGCCTTGGCCTCCTCATAAGTAAAAGGAGGGGGTGGAATAAACAGTCCGCCATGTCCCTTCGAGCTGTGCAATGCTGCGTCTGTACCCTGTCCATATTAGAGCCACAGCTATAGCTCAACTAGCAAGTGTGACTCATCCTGGTGAAGGGTAGAACCTAGTCATTTCTATGATAGGGATAAAATGTCATTTAGTTGCATTTGATTAAAAGAACTAACCTAAAATAAGAAATGTTCATTTTTCTTATTTCAGATATAAAGGAGAACTGATCAGCAATAGAAACTCAGTGCTATAGAGTTATATACTGCTATTAATTACAGATCATTACTAATGTTCTGAAAAAGTTCTGTTCCTTAATGAATCAATTTATAATATTAGGAATACAATGATGTTAAATGACTTAAAAACTGAACATTTTCTGATTATTTTATGTGATTCTATGGTAATGAGTCTTATTTTGAAGAGCATTTCTGAATTCATATGAACAAATGAGTGTTGCTATCTTTGTCATAGTCACCTTGGGAGGCTGAGCTCTTTTTTCATATCACATCACTAAACATGCTGAGGGTGCCAAAAAAATGTATACAAGTGGACACTTTGGTCAGCGTTGTTCAGGCAGCAGTTCGCCATAATCAGAAGTGTCTGGACACTGATGGTAACCACTTTGAGCATCTCTTGTAATTGCAGAAGTCAAACATGACACGTATTCATCTTTTGTTATTGGTATATATTGAGTATTATAATTTTAATACAGTTTTCCTTTCTTAAAATGTGTATACATTTTTTGGCTCCCTCTGTATACCAAGCATCTACTGTGCACTGATGCTACCATGTTAAATTGGAGGCCACATTGGAGAATTGTAGTTATGAATCCTCTCCCTCAAATGCTAGTTTGGTTTTTTTTTCTTTCAATCACTTTCATTTTGATTCTTAGCCCCAACTCCCTGTGCTGAAAAGCCATCCATCTCAGTCATCCCCCCGACTCCACACACGACCCAGAGCTATGCAGAGGCCCTGCGTCTTATCATTCCCTTCCTGCCACACTGGGTTTCCCGTGAGATGCCTTTTGTCCTGACCTCTGCACACACTCTGGGATCAAAGGTTCTGCTGCTTCTGTGCCACCGAGAGGCAGGGAGCTCTCTGGTGGCTCTGGGAACCCTGTGATTGAGGGTCCATCCTCTCTCGGTTCATCATCCAGCCAGCTACTTGGAGATCTTACCACCCGTCAGTCACTTTACTGGTCCTGCACTTTGCTGGAATTTGTCCATCTTTTTCATGTTTCTTTTACCCAGTTTCAGAGAAATCTCTTTCTACCCAGGATAACTAGCATGTTCTCTGAGCTTTGTCTTTTTTTTTTTTTAACTTAAAAAGTGGAAACTGGTTGTCTTCAAATGATAGGAAAGATAGAAAGTGTTTCTTTCTGCCATGCAAAAATCCTTAAGGAATAAGGAATATACATTCTAAAGCTCTGAATACCTAGGCACCTGCTTGAAAGAGAGAAGGGGGAGAAAAAAAGAGAGAGGGGAAGAGAGAGAGATCATGAATTATCTTGCTACACAGGACATGGTTTTGAAGAGCCTAAGTTCCAGCAGGAATGAATGATTTATAAAAAACTAAATTTTTCTTGTATAATTTTTGTAAAGCCACCTCTGTCATGATTCTTTCTTATGCCATCTGCTTTTTTTTCTTCTTTCTTTTGCTTCTTCCTTCTCTTCTCTCTTTACTTCCTTCAGAAAGAACACAGAATTTAGCGTTGGTGAGACCCATTTTAATTTTCTTGCCCTCATTTACCAGTAATATGATCTAAATCAAGTTACATTATCTCTCAGTACCTGACTTTTCTATTTGTAAAAATATGAATAATGCCACTTGTCCATACTACCTTTCAGAGCTTTTGTTAGACCAAGGAGGAAACTATTAATGGCTGGTAAACCATAAAGAAATGTGCACATCTAGACTTTATTGATTTAATGTAGAGGTGCGAGAGAGAACGCAGGTTTTCAGCCAGGTATACCTATATTCAATTCCCACCTTTACCACTTACTAGCTTAGTGTAATTGTAGTTTCTGTGTGTGTAATATTTAATAGCACCTACTTCATAGTTCTACTGAAGAAAGAAGTAAGATAATCTTTATAAATCTCTGTAAGGCAAACGAGCACATTTTACCCCCATTTCTTAAATGGAGCAGTTGAAGCTCAGAGAGTTAAAATGGATTGGCCAGACTTATACTGGTGATAAGTGAAATTACCAGAACAAACCCTTGGTATCCAATATGGGCTTGGCTTTTTAGATAGATAATTACATCAGGCAATTTCAAAGAAAGAGTTTGGTATATGTTCGGAACATATAATATACATTTAAATGTATGTGTAGAGGAGACCCATGGAAGGGTTATTTTGAAACATTCAGATTTATTTGTTCTTGTGCATTTGTTAATCAAAAAAGAATTGTCCAGTCTCCTAAAATATTTTATTATCAACTTGTACAAATTAACAAACGTGGTCTTATGTCAAGTTAATGACCCAAGAGAAGGAAAAAACTAATTGACCTCCTTCTGAATTGTAGTGCTGGGTAACTCACTATTACATTTGATGAGCAATGTATATTAGAATTTTAAAAATGAAAGTTGATGGCTCCAATCACCTATTAACCCAGGACATATGGTGGGGTTCACTTCTAGTTTAATAAATCCCCATCTGTCTTCCACTTTTTGTTTGGTGTCACACTTGACTGGTAATAATAGATTATTTTTTTCCTGTGGAAACTTCCTTGATTGCCAGTACATCTCCAAGGGCATAATCATGATATATTAAAAAATAATCATGTAAATTATAATCATCATCTCACATTTTCCAGAATATTTTTAATGATGAAGATTTTTCCTTTTAAATATTGATTGGGACTTTCCTGGATTGAGATAAGGTAATCATATGCAAATTATTTTATTTGGTATCCTTTTAGTTTAAATCCGGAGTTATAACAAGACTTGATATTGGGCTCTAACAAGAAAGTGGCTTACAGTTTTGCCTGGTAAAAGTTATTTGTTTAAATTATGCTAAACCCCTAGCAATTTTAAAACTGAGGTACAGCATGGTGGAAGTTTTTTACCATTCATAGATGCATAAAGTGAGTATACAGAGTGGGAAGGGAAATTATTCTATCTTGAGGTTAAAATGTGTTATCCATACAAATAATAAGACTTTGAGTATTGTTTTAAAGTTATTGTTTAAATTGATTTAAAAAGTATGTGTAGACATGTCAGTGATAGAAGTGCAAAGTTTTCTGAACACATTTATGTGAAAAGGCAATGCTTGTACATTTTTACCATGTTTACATCTCTTATATTTTACCTTCCTTCTCTTCTTAATTTTGATTAGAAGATTTCCTCCACATTATTCTTTGAATAGCAGGCTAACTTTTCTAAGGATTTGATCAGAGGCTGGGCCTCAGCATGGTAACTGGTAGCAAAAAAATCACAGCCTAATTGTTCCTTGTTTCTGACCACTTTCCCTGAAATAAGTTATAACATTCAGGGCAGGGAAATATTCAAATCCGTTATAGGAATTTCTCTTCTCCTGCAGTGTACACATGGACTTTAAAAAGTTATGTGTTTAAATATTTTTAACAGTCTGGCTTATAGTGTATGTTATGTATCATAGTAATCAATATTATTGGCATAAGTTTTTATTTTCATATCAGTGAAACTTATTGACAGGGCACTTTAAACTCTGAGGATGACTTTGAGGGGATGTGCTGTAAGTCTTCTCTTCCAAATCTGCCCCAGTTAACTCACTTGTTGACACAGAGTATCTTACGGTCCAGCTCTGGTTTCTTGCCCAGCTGTGACCTGACTATTTTCTTTATTTGTGGCCAAATAAAATAGCCTAGGAGTAGATTCAGACCCAGTTAACTTTATTGTGTATCTAGAATGATCCAAGTATTTAAAGATATGCATTCCTGTCCATTGTGTCCTGTTGTCCTATCAAAATTATGACTGGCAAATCTTTCCCTCTCAAAAGTGTCTTGGTTTAGATGAGAAATTATATATGTCACCTTACCAAATGGGTAGGTATTGGTGGTATCTTCTTTTCTTCTAGACCTTCTTTTTCTTTGTAAATCCTGGAGAAATCTAGAGACACTGGAATTTTAAGTGCCTTTCCCAAAGATATATAGCTACTTAGTGGCAAAGCTAGAATTTACCCCATGTGTTTTGACTTAATCTTTGGGCTTTTTTCCAGGTCAGACGTGTTAATTTGTCAGTTTTCCAGGTTAGATTTATGAAGATTTGTCCTGTGACTATTTATTGTTAGATTTATTCTCTCATTCTTGTTAGTTGTATTCTTGAATATCTTTATGTTTAATACAGGCATATAAATTGAGATAAAGTGAGCCACACTGATTGTGAGCTAACTTTCAATGAGAAATTATTGAAAGTGTCATTACCAGCCAGGCGTTGGAAAGCCTTAAAAAGCGAGCAGCACAACACTGTGGCTGGTTTGACCTTAGGGACTGAAATGTAAATGTGTCTGGAATTGGTCAGCCTATGCCAGAGATAATCATTTTACTGGTACTCAGACCAATTCTTGTGGACTGATCACTCACTCATCATTGATCCAGATCTCACATACAACAAATTGAACTCTAGGTAAAACAATTATAATTGTTTTTCTATTTGCTATCAGCTCTAAAAATCATTATGTGCTTCTAGAAATTAAGGTAGCTAGTAAGAATACTTTGTTCATGCTAAGTGGTAATTTTCTTTTTCTGTATTGGCTAGATTTTTCTAGATATGACATTTGGTTCAGGAGGACACACAAGAGCCATTCTACAGAAGGAGTCAGATGTTACTATTTATGCCTTAGACAGAGACCCAACTGCTTATGCAATGGCTGAACAGCTTTCAGAATTGTATCCGTAAGTCATATTCTTATATGATTAATTTTGGTGCTGAGTTTTACGGAGTTTGGTTTACTATCTTGGAATTTGTTCTTCCATATATGATGTTATACTTCATTCCGCTATTTCCTGCCCTGTAATCCCCAAAATAATTAATATAAATGATATTTTATTGCCAGTTTTTTTTTCTATCCGAAAATAATGATATTCTGCATTTACTATTTCTGAATTAATAAGAATAAATAAAAAATGACTTTGGGCTAAAATTTGAAGATGTGTTGAAATCTATCCATGAATAATATTTTGAAAAATAGCCCATAGTTTAGAAACAATTTTTAAAGAATTTTATGAGTTACAGTTTCCAAGAATTTAGTGGAATAAATAAGTATGTAGAAATTCTGCAGCATTCATCAGGTCACATACATCAACTTAATGCAATTGTTTTGTCTGAATACTTGTTGAAATTCACAAGTAAATTTAGTGCTATCTATTCCTCTGTCAGAATTCATGGGTTTTCACTATAGAGCTTGCTAAAAATATAAAATATTGTCTTCATGAGTGGTAAAACCATCTTCCTTTAGAGAAAAATTTAGAATTAGTGAGCTAAGTCCATATGCTATGTTGTTTAAAGGCCAGCAGCCTGAAAAACAAAAATATCTTGGAGCTAAAATGATTTTTTCCGAATACTATGTAAAGGGCTATTTTCAGGAATGAGGAATTGTTTTATTCTCTCATGCTCCAGAGACTGAAATCAAGAAAAGACATGAGAATTTCAGAAGTAAATTTTGACTTGATGTAAACTAGATTTACTGGTCGTAACAATGAAAAGGCCTGTGGTGAAAGAGCACAAGTATGACCACAGAAGAGTTTAATCAAAGACTAAGGGTAGAAAATTGGATTACTATTCTAGGCCAGTCTTTTTCAACCTCTCTCAGATCCCAAACTCTTTGCAAATCTATCAGTGTGATTTATTCTCCTAATAAGCATGCAAATAAATATACATAAATTTGTATTTGCAAGGTTACAGGGTTCATGGAGTCCCTGAAACCCATTTGAGCCCAGGTTATTTTCTTCTAAAAAATATACGAGGATGAGGTTTAATAACATGAAGCTATCTTTTTATTGTTTTAGATCTTTTGCTGTCATTTTTTAATGTAAGTTAATGCACCTTCCTTAAGAAGAGCATGTACTAGGGCATTCATGTTTATGAAACATCTTAGGCGTTCACTTGATTATGATTTTAACATTCATAGAATGAGTATAGATCTCCATTATATTTCACTATCATAGAACAATTCAATTTTTGTAGATGTTATTGTTTCTAAAGGCAATAATTCCTAGTCCAGTTTGTTCCAAACTCCCTTACTCCTTAAAATACCCTACTTTCTCAAATGGAACTTAAAGTTTATCAATTTTATCAGGCATAATCTTTTACCGGACAGTAGTCTGGGACTTATATTTCTGATCTGTTACCTAATAGTCTTATTTTATTAAATTATACTACCTTCACTCAAATCTTGTTGAGACATTTTAGTTCATCTACAGAATAATTTCTTTGCCAAACATAGTCAATTAAAGAACAATAAAATAAATCAGGAAGAAGGAATTAATAAGATAAAAGCTACAAAGAAACTGAAAACCAAAAAAAAAAAAAAAAAGAAAGGATAAGGAAATCCCAAGTGATCATTCTTTGAAAAGAGCAAAAATCCCTTCTTAGCCTGATTGTTAAGGGAAAAAGAGAGCAAACATATAATATGAGTAAAATTGAGAGAGAAGACCAACCCTAGACACAAGATAATTAAATCATAAAATAATATAACCACAATTCTGTGGAAACCTAGATGAAAGATGTCCTAGCAAAATATAAATTATTAAAATTGACTCAGTAATTATAAAACTTTAGTAGGTCATTAACATAAAAGAGACCAGAAAGATAAATAAAGTACAGAGGAAAACACACCATGACCAGATTTGCAGTTGTTATCTAGCTATGAAAAAATGGGAAGGCTCTGCCTTTGACACGGTAAACATGGAAAGCTCTTTCAGTTCCTTTACATTGAATCCAGTATAGTGTTAATACCTAATCTTGCTAGAGATAGTATAAAAGAAAAAAGGGAAAAAGTTCAGCCTCATTGAAGTATATAAATGCAAAAGTCAAAAGGAAATACTAGCATATTTAATTCACATATTATTTAATTAAAAGATGAATACCTATGGCTTCATAGGGTTTATTTCAGGAACATGGGGACTGCCCCACATCAGACAGTCAATCAAGGATGGGGTCCTCAAGATTACAAATTATAAAACCCATAAAGTTAACAAGAATATAAGAAAACTGCTTAAATGTAAAATATCCTTTTAATGAAGGACAAATAGCAATTACTTGCCCAAAAGGTGAAATACTATAACAATTTAAATCAAAATCAGGATGCAAATATGTATTAACTTCTATAAATATTTTAATATTTTTGGAAGGTCTGGCAGAGGTAATTAAGGAACTGGTGAGAGGTTAAAATACTCTTTAATAATGATTTGACTGAATACTTAAAAACCCAAAAGACTTGTAAAATTAATAAGATGGTTAGGTAAAAATTTAAAAGTTGTCTTAAGTAGTAAATACTTACAAAGGGAAATAGGAAAGAAATATTTTATTCTCAAAAGGCTCTAAAATTATATATAATATTTAGTAATAAATTTTGCTAGAAAGGCACAATTACAAATAAAAATTATATAATTTTAGTGAAGGGCTTACAAGATCTGAACAAAAGAGAAAACATATTTGTTTGGGGACAGAAGAAATTAATATTAAAAAAAAAAAGCCAGTTCTCCCAAACTTATATATGCATTTAATGTACTTCTAGGAAGTATCTTAATTGATTTTACCTTAACTGATGTTTTTGTTTTTTTTTTAATTTGGATAATGTGATCTTAAGTACATATGGTGGGAAGGGAAATTCAAGATCTTTCAGTGGAATGAAAAAGGAAGAGGAAACTTGTCTTACCAAATATCAGATATAACTGTAAAATCACTATAATGAAATCAATATGATATTGGCATAAGAATAGGCAAGTAGATTAGTGGAGGAGAGAACCCAGGTATAGGTTTCACTATATAAAACAATTTAAAAGGTGACAAATGTATTTTAATTCATTGAGAAAATAGTGCATTATTAAATAAATGGTATTGGTACAATGCCTGTCAAACTCGAACAAAATTAAATGGACCCCTATTTTAAATCAAGTTGAAAAATAACTCCCAGATAGAGTAGAAGTATATGAAAAATTGTAAATAAAATGCCTAAAGAAAATAGAAGAGATTATATATGCAATCTAAGTTTAAGAAACATGAAATCAATAATAGAAATCATAAATCTATAAAAGTAAATAGAAATATCTAATTATATAAAAATTTTAAAATATATGGCAAAAATAGTACAGTAAAATTTCCAAACAGTTAATTTGGAAAAGAAATATTAGTAATATAGCGGATTGGAAAAAGGGTTGATATTATAGGGGAGGAAAAATACTTTTTCATCTACCCTTCTAAGTTCTCAGTTGGGACGCCTGTAACAAAAGACAGATTAATAAGAGAAAAACATTTTAAATTACTTAATGTAAGTTTTATGTGACACAAGAGCCTTCAGAAGGAAATGACCCGAGGACACAGTTAAAACAGCATTTTTATATTAGGTTTGATGAAGAGTGGAAAGTTATGGAAAATATTGCAGGCCAAAGGGTATGAGCTAAGTGTAGTGAACTAGGGGAAGCATAGCAAGCCCCTTTCGGATTCCTTTCATCTCTTCGTCTTCATAGATAAGGAGGCTTCTTTCCTCTGGGTATAGAATATCTCTCACACAAGGGTCTTATGACCCACTTCAGGGAAGAGGAACTTCCTTAAGTAGGTCAGAGGGTTTTCTGACCTACTTCATACATTTCTTCCTGCATGGACCATTTCTCATATTCCTTCAGTTTACAATATTCAATACTTCAAGGTGCATATTTTGAGGTAGCATGTCCTGAACCCTATCAGTATTTATCATATAAGAAGAATTCTTTCAAAAATGGTAAGACAACAAAAACTAGTTTGAAAAATGAGCAAAGGATATGGAAGGGTCATTCATAGAAGATTGGGAGTAATAAGATGCTCCACATTAGTAGCAGGGATGAGGGAAATAAAATTGAAGTAATAGTAGTATAAATACTTCATGGAAAGACATAATTTTGAAAGTGAGGATATGGGGAAAAGGATACTCATCCATTTTTTGTGGACCTCTTTTAATATTAAAAAATATGCATAACCTGCTTAGAATCTATTCCATCTAAATAAAAGAATCAATATCTAAGGAAACATATCATTAGACTTATTACAGACTTTGCATATGGATTGTTTATATATAATCATGAGTGTTTGAGAAAGAAGGAATTAGTGGTGGTGGGAGAGGGGGAGTGTGGTGAAGGGAAAACAGTGGTTAAAAAAAACAAACGCAAAGATTGTATGATCACACCTCTCTATGTGTATGTAAAGTAGAAAATGCCAAAAAATGCGGTTTTGTTTATGAATACCTACATATGTAGTTATGGTATTAAAATATGCATGAGAAAGAAAAACACAAATTTGGGCCAGGGATTATTTCTGGGGATAATGGATAGATGGTTGGTTGGAAGGATGGAAAGATTAGACAGATTGATTGTCTTCAAAATACTAATGTAATTACAACTTGTAGTAAAGTACACAGTAAAAGAAATATTTTGTCATTTCCATGTGAACATCTTTTGAGGAAATCTAGCCATTTCTTTCTTTTATTTATTGACTTTGCTGTTGTCAAGGAGGAGCTTATGCTTCTCGTGAAAAATCCCATGTTCTTTACTCTGTCAAAACTAAGTCAAAAATAGAAACTAACGTTTTCACAGAAAACTAAGCGTTCTTAGGAAGGCTGAATTTTAGGCTAACCCATTTTAGTTCGTTCAGCAAAGATGACATGTCAGATCACCTGTTGTTTGAAAGCTGAAACTTTTCC